ACAGACAAGGCGCAGAAGTGCCGACAGCCGGCAGAAACAGAAAGGAACACAGAAGACGGTCTCGCCCAGAGCCCTAGAGAGAGCAGAGCCCTGCTGATGCTCGTACTGGTTTTGGACTGCTAGCCTCCAGAACTATGGGAGAATAAATTTCTGTTGTTTTAAGCCACTAAGTTTGTGATTCTTTGCTACAGAAACCATAAGAAATTACAACATTCAAATGACATTAGAAGACTTACATCATAAACACCTGAAAAATTTAGCAATGCTTCATTGGACTATGTTCTTCTCACAGCAAAAGTAAAAAGAGAGCGCACTTCCCTCCAGCAATACCTTGAAGGGAATGTGGATTGACCTTGAAAACAGAATATTTAAACCTCCCAGACATTGTTTACTCCATGTGCAGACTACTTTACAGTCATTCTTTCCATACCATCCATTTAGATCACCGCCATTACAGGTCTGACTGGTGGTAAGATGTTAGAACTGACAAAATAAATGATCACGAATAAAAATGGAAAAGTGCTCTCTCTGCTACTGAGCTGCTGAACCAATGCAGTGGTTTATAACAGCAGGACGAAACCAAATAATTGGATATTGTGATGAATTTGAGGTGTTACCATTTCGATGGCTTTAGGATGATGATAAGTGTTAACCAGTAACACCACCACATTCCTTTTGGCCCACAGGCTCGGTGGGATGGCTTGACTGGGCGTATCACCTTCAATAAAACCAATGGCTTGAGGAAGGATTTTGATCTGGACATTATTAGTCTCAAAGAAGAAGGAACTGAAAAGGTAACCTCCTCGATAATAAATAAATATTTGTTTACAAATCAATAAATGTAAATAAATAAATACATAGACTTGCTCAAGCACTTTTGCTATATTGAACAGACAAATGAGAGACGGATAAAGTGATTCTCTCAGCATGCTGACTTGCAGCCAGCTTTCCAACTCTCTCCCTCATTTGCAGATGTTGACATGACAGATTCTTAAATCGCATGGGTTTCTAATAGCAGTGCTAACTACTGCTTGCTTTATGTATTAAGTGTGCATATGTTATTACATATTTAAGCTTGTGGTTGAGTGTCATTAGGCCCATATGTCAAGCTTTTAAGAAACTGAGTTTAGACTTGGAGAATCAGAAGCTGTCAATGGTTTGTCTATGGAATGGTGTCCAAGGTTTACTCAGAAATTAATTTTAATTGCACATTGCACTCCATTTTAAGATTGGTGACAGGGGGACAGAGAAAGTAGGATACAAGAAGCTGACTGGAGTAAATTAACTTTGCATTCTTAATTTTAGGACAAATGCCAAAAAAATGTATTTTAATGTTGGATCCTCATTTTAGGATTATTTTAGTTTTAACTCAGTCGCTCCAAGTTTAATGTTCTATTTTAGTTAATATTTAGAGTAGCACAGATGTTTACTATTTAAATAATAATGATAAAAGAATTTGGCTTCTCAGTATATTTTAGTATACCAATTTTAGTATTCATGTGTATTAACACTTAACAGTGTGGGGCAGTGCCTGTGCCTCAGTGAGTAGGGCACCAGCCCTATATACTGCAGGTGACGGATTTGAACTTGACCTTGGCCAAACTGCAACAACAACAACAACAAAATAGGCAGGCA